TAAATAGAAACTGAACAATCTGCTCCTGAATGACTACTGGATAAATAACAAAATGAAGGCAGAAATAAAAACTTCTTTAAAACCAAAGGGAATGAAATGGGAATGCAGACACAACAAGCCATAATCTCTGGGACACATTTAAAGCAGTGAGTAGAGGGAAATTTTTAGCACTAAATGTCCACAAGTGAAAGCAAACAAGATCTAAAATCAACACCATAACATCACAATGAAAAGAACTAGACAATCAAGAAGAAACAAATTTAAAAGCCAGCAGAAGACAAGAAACAACTAAATCAGAGCAGAACTGAAGGAGAGAGAGACACGAACACCCGTCAAAAAATCAATGAATCCCGGAGCTGCTTTTTGAAAAGATCAACAAAATAAACCACTAACCAGACTAATAAAGAAGAAAAGAGAAGAATACAATAAATGCAATAAAAAATGATATGGGGATATCACCACCAATCCCACAGAAATACAAACTACAGTCAGAGAATACTTTAAACGCCTCAATGCAAATAGATGAGAAAACCTGGAAGAAATGGATCAATTCCTGGACACTTACACCCTCCCAAGACTAAACCAGGAAGAAGTCAAATCCCTGAATAGGCCAATAACAAGTTTTGAAATTGAGGCAGCAATTAATAGCCTACAAACCAAAAAAACTCCAGGACCAGATGGGTTCACAACCAAACACTACCAGAGATACAAAGAGGAGCTGGTTCCATTCCTTCTGAAACTATTCCAAACAATAGAAAAGGAGAGAAACCGCCCTAACTCATTTTATGAGGCCAACATCATCCTGATACCAAAAGTTGTCAGTGACACAACAAAAAAACAAAACTTCAGGCCAATATCCCTGATGAACATCAATGCAAAACTCCTCAATAAAATACTGGTAAACTGAATCCAACAGCACATCAAGAATCTAATCCACCACAATCAAGTTGGCTTCCTCCCTTAGATGCAAGGCTGGTTAAACATACAAAAATCAATAAACATAATCCAACACGTAAATAGAAGCAATGATAAAAACCATATGATTATCTCAATAGATGCACAGAAGGGCTTTGAAAAAGTTTAAGAGCCCTTCATTCTAAAAACTCTCAATAACCTAGGTATTGATGGAACATATCTCAAAATAATATGAGCTATTTATGACAAACCCACAGCCAATATCATACTGAATGGACAAACACTGGAAGCATTCCCTTTGAAAGCCAGCACAAGACAAGGATGCCCTCTCTCACCACTCCTATTCAACATAGTATTGGAGGTTCTGGCCAGGGATATCAGGCAAGAAAAGGAAATAAAAAGTATTCAGTTAGGAAAAGATAAAGTCAAATTGTCTCTATTTGCACATGACATGATTGTACATTTAGAAGACCCCATCGTCTCAGCTTAAAATCTCCTTAAATTCATAAGCAACTTCAGCAAAGTGTCAGGATACAAAATCGATGTGCAAATATCATAAGCATTCCTATACACCAATAACAGACAGAGAGCCAAATCATTAATGAACTCCCATTCACAATCGCTACAAAGAGAATAAAATACCTAGGAATACAACTTACAAGGGATGTGAAGGATCTCTTCAAGGAGAACTACAAACAACTGCTCAAGGAAATCAGAGAGGACAGAAAAATGTGGAAAAATATTCCATGCTCATGGTTAGGAAGAACCAGTATCATGCAAATGTCTATACTGTCCAAAGTAATTTATAGATTCAGTGCTATCCCCATCAAGCTACCATTGTCTTTCTTCACATAACTGGAAAACACTACTATAAATTTCATATGGAACCATAAAGGAGCCCACAAGTCAAGACAATTCTAAGAAAAAAAAAAGCTGGAGACATCATGCTACCTGACTTCAAATTATACTGCAAGGCTACAGTATTCAAAACAGCATGGTACTGGTACCAAAACAGATATATAGACAAATGGAACAGAACAGAAGCCTCAGAAATAATGACACACACCTACAACCATCTGATCTTTGACAATCCTGACAAAAACAAGCAATGGGGAAAGGATTCCCTATTTAATAAATGGTGTTGGGAAAACTGGCTAGCCATATGCAGAAAGCTGAAACTAGATCCCTTCCTTACACTTTATGCAAAAATTAACTCAACATGGATTAAAGACTTAAATGTAAGTCGTAAAACTTGAAAACCCTAGAAGAAAACCTGGGCAATACCATTCAGAACATAGGTATGGGCAAAGACTTTATGACTAAAACACCAAAAGCAATGGCAACAAAATCCAAAATTGACAAATAGGATCTAATTAAACTAAACAACTTCTGCACAGTAAAAGAAACTATAATCAGAGTGAACAGGCACCCTACAGAGTGGAAGAACATGTTTGCAATCTCTCCATCGGACAAAGGAATAATATCCAGAATCTACAAAGAAGTTAAACAATTTTACTAGATAAAAAACAACCCCATCAAAAGTGGGCAAACGATATGAACAGACACTTCTCAAAACGAAAAATGTATGCAGCCAACAAACATATGAAAAAAAGCTCATCATCACTGGTCATTAGAAAAATGCAAATCAAAGCCACAGTGAGATATCATCTCCCACCAGTTAGAACAGTGATTATTAAAAAGTCGGGAAACAACAGATGCTGGAGAGAATGTGGAAAAATAGGAATGCTTTACACTGTTGGTTGGAGTATAAATTAGTTCAATCATTGTGGAGGATGGTGTGATGATTCCTCAAGTATCTAAAACTAGAAATACCAATTAACCTGGAAATCCTATTACTGGGTATATACCCAAAGGCGTATAAATCATTCTATTATAAAGACACATGAACACATATATTTATTGTGGCACTGTTCACAACAGCAAAGACTTGGAACCAACCCAAATGCCCATCACTGATAGACTGGATAAAAAAAAGATGGCACATATACACCATGGAATACTATGCAGTCATAAAAACAGATGAATTCCTGTCCTTTACAGGGACATGTATGAAGCTGGAAACCATCATTCTCGGCAAACTAACAAAAAAACAGAAAACCAAACACCACATGTTCTTACTGATAAGTGGGAGTTGAACAATGAGAACTCATGGACACAGGGAGAGGAACATCACACACCAGGGCCTGTTGTAGTTGGGGGACTAGGGTAGGGATAGCTTTAGGAGAAATACCTAATGTTGATGACGGGTGATGGATGCAGCAAACCCTCATGGCATGTGTATACCTATGTAACAAACCTGCACGTTTTGCACATGTACCCCAGAACTTAAAGCATATACAAAAAAAAATCTTGAAAACTTGTTGTTTTGAAAAACTGAGCAGAACGCACAGGCAAGGAAAGATTCATGTGTTAATCCAATGCCATTCAAATTGAAAAAGAAAAGATCCATAGTTGGGAAATAACTATATGCAGAATTATAAAAAGGGGGTCAAAACCAATACAAATGGGCTAGCCAATAATAGGGACTAAATATAGGACAGTTAGCTTTAATTTCAGAATCTACACGATGATTTCACAAACTGTTCAGAAATGATAAAAACATAAAACCTGTTTAAAAACACAGTGTGTTGTTCGCTATTAGAAATTCTGCCTTTAAGTCATCATGGATCCCCAGGTAGATATGTCCAGTGGATATAGGAATTGCAAGTTTAGGGTAAGATCAGGGTAAAATTTGGCAATATAAGTATTATAAACCAAATGTTTGTGTCCACTCAAAATTCATTTGCTGAAATCCTAATTCCCAAACATAATTATGCCACAAAGTGGGCTATAGTGGAAAAAGTAGGTAATGAGTGTGCAGCACTCATGAATGAATTAGTGCCTTTATAAAAGAACCCTAAGAACTCTTTTATTCTTTTTCTACCATGTGAGAATAAAAATAGAAGTTGGTAGTCTACAACTCAGAAGAGGGCCCTCATCAGAACCTTACTATCCTGGCACCCTGATCTCAGGCTTCCAGTCTCCAGAATTGTGAGAAATAAATTTCTGTTGCGACTAAGCCACCTAAACTCCGGTACTTTGTTTTAACAGACCAAACTAACCAAGACACTATGCATGTGACTTGAGAATAGAAAGATTTCTCAAAGAGAACAAAGAAATAAGATGATCAGTAGTTGAAAGGTGAAATGCCAGCACATAAAGAGGCATAGAGGGGTGGAGGAGGAATAGGAGACCTGATGGAGACTTGGAAAGAAAGATTCGAAGAGAAAGAGGAGAATTAAGAGAATGAACCTACAGACTGGTAAACGCATCTAGAACCAACGTGGTATTTTTTAGAATAATTATATGAGTAGTTTGATTCTAATTAAAATATTTAGCTTAGTGTCTCAAGTAAAATTTTCACTTTTTCAAATTATTGTTTTCTCTCATTTTATATATATATCTTATAAGTGATCATAATTAATAACCAAATATTTAATTTTTTAAAAAATAGTATGAACTATATTAGTTTTATGAATAAAGAATAACCCTATTCAAAGTATCTTAAAAATTAATCATTTCAAATCTAAAATTAAAGATCTACAGAAAGAGTGAGATAAACATATGACAGAGAAATTATTTATGGTACAAACATAGTTTTTATGATTACTATTGTAGGAACTAATTCCTTTTTCCAAATGAATGTTTGCCTCCAGGCACATTAAATACTTTGGAAAGGCACAAGTTCCTTTGTGACTCCATTTATAACACACATAAAACATATTCTTCTAAAGGTTATATTTTATCTCAATGACCTACTATCACTTTATAATATACTAAAGCATTCTGGTCCTGCCCTTCCAGGTATCGCTATGCTCATTGTTTCTAGGTTCTGCGCCTCACACTGATTCCCAGATGATTCCCATCCCTTATTGGACTGAATAAAAAAACAAAGCATTTTTGGTTTCTCTGCAGTTGTTCGGGTTCAGACTTTAAAATGCTCTCTTCATGAGTGACATTTCTATCATTCTAGCTATTTGGATTTTCTTCTGCCCCACATAGATGTCTGTGATAACAGTACTTACCAATATTAACTTTCCTTCAGCATGTCCTCTGCCCAAATGCCTGCCTCAGTTGTGTGGAAGTGGTTTATCCCTCTCCTCTGAGATAGCAGAATTCGGATTATTTCGACCACTCTGGGACTCTTGGTACAGGGAGGAGTAAAGGAATTTGTTTTAAGATTAAGTATGGCCTTAAAAAAATATTTCTTCAAAGCATTAAGAAAATCCTCTGTGGCTATATTTTGTGTTGAGCTAAAAATTGCCTTAATAATAAAATCAACTCACTTACTTCTCGATGAAGTAGTGCTTTCACTCTTATTATTCCCATTTTAGACGTAGGACTGAGGCACAAAGACACCCAAGGTCATGGAGTTAGTGAGTAGGAGTCAGGAAGCATGACCTGTTTTGTTCCTGGTATGCATACTGTCTTCTGCACAGCATGTCTCAAGAAGGGTTGCAGAGTAGAAAGACTGCTCTACAGCAGGGCTTTATGCCAACTTACATGTGGCTGCTTAATACTACATACTGTGCTCAACAAGTTTCTGAGAACCTAGCAGAAAGCTGAACTCCTTCCCAGGTCTGAGTTCATTGGGCAAACAGAGAGGAATGGACTATCTTCCTACCTTCCTTCAGACGGCCAGCATTTGCTGATGCATTTCTTTGAGTAAAGCATAGTAAGCAACGAGTGTTTTTTTTTTTTTTCACCCCAAGTGCATTATCTTTAGAATAACTAGAAATGTCTTTTAAAACATGACAGTCTTTTGACCATCAGTCTTGATCTTTTATATTGCCACTATTCCATTTTTCTGAGCCATTTTAGATATTTTAGAGCAAGGTTGAATGAAGGCTGCTTCAGGGTCTCCCAGAGAGGTTTCCTTTTAGCTGAGAACCTGCTATTAAATGCTCTTGGTGAGATGAGTGACAGCATCAGAACTGTGTTTTTGAGAGATTTATCTGGCAGCAGTTTATAAGATGTATTGAAATGTGGCAACATGGATTTTATAATATTATGTTTGTTTATGCATGAAAAACATTGACACCGAATTTCCTCCTTCTGCGATAATACTGGGTATAGGAACTTCTTGGAGTTTGCTATGGTCACTCCAAATAATGTTGGGTTGTATGAGAAAAATTTGACTGGTTAAACGTTGCCTTATTTAACTAACATGAAGCAAATCAGGAAGCTCGCCAATAATGCCATGCTGCATTTTTTAAATGTTTGATAATTTTAGCATTATCTTTTTTCCAGGCATAAAATCACTTTGGTATAACATTATTCACACATTAATCTAGTCTTAAACCTTGATATGCCTTAAGATCCATGCATTTGCACTCTGACAGAGAGGTGAAATAAAAGACTATGATGACTGAAGACACTTCTTAGTTAAAAAAAAGGAAACTATCCTAGGTAGACCTCAGAGCTGTAAATCAATAGTAATAAAATGTATCATATTGGTTCTATATGATTAATATTAATAATTTTTTAGTTATATAAACTAATTCAATAATACTAGGGCAACCTGGTAGTTTCAGGAGCTGACAATATTAAGCCTTTTATGTTTTAAAATTCATTTAATATATCACTCATAACTATAAAGTTGTAACATTTCTCTTAGAATTATAGGTCTCTGAAAATAACAGGAGAGATATTTAACAAACATGCTTCTTTATGATTTATTTTGAAAATAACTTTTTATGGTTGTAATAGAAAAAAGCCTTTGTAAACTCCTTTTTCCCTCTTTTTCATAGCCTGCTGCCAAGAGGAAATGAATGCTGTCTTTGAGATATTCACAAACATCCGATGCGGATGGGGAGGCTCACTTTGAGAGCCAGCGTTTATTCTATTTTCTGTATTCGATCCATTCTCAACAAAGACCGTGCCCAACCCCATCTTTCACAGTGTCTTTCTGCTGCACCACATGTTGGAATAAATCTGTATTTCTTTATCAAATGAGCATTCCCTCTGTGTTGCCCTCACTTGTTCTCTTATTCTAGGACCTGGGGATATTGAGATCTCAAATGTACCCTGTAACCTCAACGGCTCCTCCCCAACCCAGTACAAGGGGAGGTCCTGGGGACCTGACCCAGTACAAGGGGAGGTTCTGAGCAGATCAGGAATAAAGTATTTACATGGCATGCGCTTCCTATGAGAGCCTTATGTACTGTTGTGCATGCAATCTCTCATTGACCCCATTGGGTAAAACCAAGTGGGAGCTTCAGGAACATCCTCCTGCTAGCTGGAAACTTTCTTCTCCTTCAGGAAAAAATCTATTACTTAAGGAAGCATAAACATTGTGCAGCACCACTTCCCCTTCCAGTCATTCTGTTGCACATAAAGAGCAAAGAGTGAGCCTTTCTGCCTCTTCCCTCCCTACACCTCATGAATGTGATATATAGCCCATAGGAGTTTTCTATGCTGTTCTAATGGCCCCAATATAATTTTCCAAGAATACAGACATACAAATATTATTATAGTCATACTTCCCCTGCAACTTCTCATTAGTAGCAGCAATAACATATTTGGAATAAACCATGCCAGTGAAGTTTCCATACTGTCAACCATTCTATTTGTCTCAAGGCCTGCCTGCAGCCCCTCATAAGTGAGAAATGATGATGCTTCCCATGCTTGCTCTGCAGTTCCAGTGGAATTCTCTTCTCACTCCTAGCCAGCCAGGCCAACTCTTAAGATGTAGGTGAATTCCTTTTCTGTTCCTCCTTCCCCAGTGGGCTGATGGCCTGGTTCTTCATCGAGTTCTACCCTCTTTTCTCAAGTGGAAGCTCTCTCTTTAGTTAGTTCCATCCTACTCCAAGGAACCTAGTTCTTACCTTGTTCTTCCACTCTGTAAAATTTTCAGGTCCCTGATGAATGCCCTTTCCAGTATTTTTCAGCTGTTAGCCAGTTTGCAACGTCATAAAATATTATGTGAGCTAGCAGCTACGGCATGAATGGAGATCTCACAAGATTAGCTTGTGTATGGTGGTCTAACTAGGGGGTCAAGACAGTGCACACAATTAGGAGAAGATAATGAGGACATGAGAAAATAAGAAGAGCCAAGATCTGCCTTTTGGTCATATTATTCTGATGCAGGAAGGGGGCAGAGAAGTGCTGGTAGAGAAGGGTGGCATCCTTGGCAAGGGCTCCACCCTCTGGCCTATTCCCATGGATCTAAGTGAGGACAGATATTTCTGTTTTCATGCCCAAAAAGTTGCCTTTTGTCCTACCATACCCCCTATGCTGTGTCCATTTAAACCCAAGACTTTAAGCAGGCACAGACAAGCAGCTGAGCATCGTGAGGAGCAGAGGAACAGAACAGTGGAGAGCAATAGAGTGTAGCAGGGTGGCACAGCAGAGAAAGATGGTGTTGTTTGTTTTTTTCTAGTAAATTTGTTTAAGTTTATTGTAGATTCTGGATATTAGCCCTTTGTCAGATGGATAGATTGCAAAAATGTTCTCCCATTCTCTAGCTTACCTGTTCACTCTGGTGATAGTTTCTTTTGCTGTGCAGAAGCTCTTTAGTTTAATTAGATCCTATTTGTCAATTTTGGGTTTGTATTTGATCTATTCTCAACAAAGATGTTTCAGTCATGAAGTCTTTGCCCATGGCTATGTCCTGAATGGTATTGCCTAGGTTTTCTTCTATGGTTTTTATGGTTTTAGGTCTTACGTTTAAGTCTTTAATTCATCTTGAGTTAATTTTTGCATAAGGTGTGAGGCAGGGGTCCAGTTTCATTTTTCTGCATATAGCCAGCCAGTTTAAGGATTATAAATCATTCTACTATAAAGACACATGCACAAGTATGATCACTGCAGCACTATTTACAATAGCAAAGACTTGGAACCAACCCAAATGCCCATCAATGATAGACTGGATAAACAAAATGTGACACATATACCCCAGGGAATACTGTGCAGCCACAAAAAAGATGAGATCATGGTTTTGCAGGGACATGGATGAAGTGGAAACCATCGTTCTCAGCAAACTAACACAGGAAGAGAAAAAAAAAACACTACATGTTCTCACTCATAGGTGGGAGATGAACAATGAGAACACGTGGACATGGAGGGGAACATCACATACTGGGGCATGTCAAGGGGTGGGGGTCTGGGGAAGGGATAGCATTAGGAGAAATACCTAATGTAGATGACAGGTCGATGGGTACAGCAAACCATCATGGCACACGTATACCTATGTAAGAAACCTGCATGCTCTACACATGTATCCCAAAACTTAAAGTATAATAAAAATAAAAAGAGAGAGAGAGAAGAAGAAAAGACATCTGGACACCAAGGAGAGTTCAGCCGGGTGGCCAGAGAAGCGTCGGGCTACTGGGCAGCCCTCCTCCGGGGGAAGATCAGCTTTCCACTCCATCATCTTCCAGCTCCAGCTCCCCATTTATCTCACCGAGAGTCACCTCCACCACTCAGTAAACTTTGCACTTACGCTTCGAGCCTGCATGTGATCTGATTCCTTTGGTACACTGGGCAAGAACCCAGATTGTCACCCTGGCCCCCTGTCTTCAGATAAAGCAGTGGGTCTAATTGAGCTGATAACACAAACCATCTGCAGAGGACACAGCTGAAAGAGCACACCGTAACATAGGCCCACTTGGGATTTAGGAGTTGTAAACATTCACCCCTAGAAGGTACTGTGGGGCAGGAGCCCAAAACATGCTCCTCAGCACCTCTGCACCTGTCCGTCTGTACACCCTGTCTAGGGCTTTGAGCATCAGGGCATGGAAGAGGCTAGACACACCCAGGTCACACACCCTGACAGGGGGATAAGGGAACTTCTCTCATTTCGGTTTCACATTCCTCAAAATTCAGTCTATGCTATGCTTCTACCCTGTATTTGTCTTCCTTCTCTTAATTTCTTTTTTTCCCTGCCCCTTTGACTCCAATACTAATTTCCAGTTGTACTATTACCAAGTGCACTTCAACCTGGAGCAATGAGACAAGATTTTACATTTGGAATACTATACCAATAGAGCAGCATGAAGATAAGGCAGAAGCCAAGGAGGTCTCATGTTAGGGGCTCAATATATGGAGCCATTACACCCAGTTAAGTAAATCACTCATTCCACATGGGTAGAGTCACGATCTTAGAGAGGGGCCCGTCTGGCTTCCTGCAACCCTCAAATACGTACTTTTTCTTCTATCAAAACAATTAGAAATGCAATGATATAGAAGTTTCCAAATCTACTATAGAAACAGTCTTCTTACTAGTTCCTAATGCTTTGGCTCTCCCTTCCATTTCCATTGTGCTAGACCAGAATCATGTTAAACGAACAAAAAAGCTACTTTGTCAGAGTACAAAGAGAACAAATATTAACAACTTAAGAAGTATAAATATTGTTTTTCAGAAAGAAATGCCTAGACATTAAAAAGTTTGAAACTTACAAAATTAATTGTGAGTCAGGTACTAATTCATATATGATTAGACATTTTGAGACCCAAAATCAAATGAAAGCTTGGCTATCTTACACTAAGAGAGAAAAGATCACTGAAAGGCAAATCTAGAGGGAAGTCTTTTAGGAAGAACAAAGGTCTGTGAGTGAGAGCTCACTCTAAGCTTCCCCTAAAAGCACAAAGGCTACTTTGTCAGAGTACAAAGAGAAAAAATATTAACAACTTAAGAAGTATAAATACATTTTACCACGTTTTTCAGAAGGAAATACCTTATGGGAGTTCCTAAAGGGCCAGATATTGGTATAACTGCTTCACAAAGCTATCATCTAAACCCACTTCAGATAGGGCCTGAATGCAGATGTCATACAAATGCAACCCTAAAAAAGACTCACACAACCTTCGGTTTTCTTCTTAAACAGTCATTTTTGAAATAAATCCCTAGAAATCAACTTCAACATGATTTCTAGGGAGGAAACTAAGCACCTTCAGTTTTCACGCTTGGTTTTCAGTTTCCAGTTGCATATTCTAACCTATTGAGAAGTTTCATTTCCCTTAAACATTACATATTGTAGATATGTGTGTACAAATATAATACACATACTCTATAACCCATTGTGTGTATGTTGGGGGTGGGGAGGTCAGTATTTTGCAAAGTATCCGAGAAAGAAAAATTATTTCACAATTTTTCTTATTAGTTTATTCCTGGAAATTTTAATGGACCCTCATTCTGCTTTTTATACTTGAAGTAATAGGTCAACGCTCCTGAGTGATATCACAATCATTGTGAACATGAATACTTAAAAGTTACACACAAATAAGAAACATAAATCTGTAATAACAAGCTACAAATGCCCTTTCTATATTAGTTGAGTATTTTAATCTCCCTTATACATAAGACAAGCTTCCAGTTGCACATCTGATTCTTCATTCAAGTGAGTTTTTCACCTTTTTACTGGTTTTAGAGTGAAAGCTTTTATTTACTGTAC